TCTCACACACACACACACACACACACACACACACTCACACACATTTATAAATTATATATATATATATATTATTTCATTTCCATTTAGTTTGTTGGCGCATTAAAATAACTCAAATTAAATAAAACTAAAACTTAATAAAAGACCTATACAGACCTAATAAATTCAGACATAATGTAACTCAAATTTAAATAAATAACAAATACAAATAAAACAAATGAAATGACAGTAGTTTATCAGTAATCCTAAAAATAGCACTGAGGCAAACACACCTGCTAAACAACAGCTTACTGACACACAGTAAGAAACGGTTATAAAAACTGAAACAGAAGAGACAGCAGTAACAGGACAGAGGAGAAATAAAACGCTGTACGTCTCCTCTGCCGGTGAATATAGCACTCATATGTATCATATATATCAGCAGTAGTGTACTTCTTTATTTGGATGACAGACTCAGATTGGATCCTGCTGCTATATTAATGGAGAGTTTGTTTCTTTGCTGGAGGGTTAGTAGTTGTGTCTTTCTGTCTTTCTCGGGCTGCGCACATGGCCAGGACCGTGTTCTTTCTCTTCTGTAGGAGCTCTTGTGTGGCTCTGCTGTGCCTTCTGTCAGGCTCCAGGAGGCTGAAGACATCTCGTCAGCCATTATTTAGGTAAATCCACAGGCTCTCGTGGTGTCTGTAAACACTCATCTCCTCACACTGCTGCTGCTGTGTTTCTCCGAGCTCGTCCTGACCCCTGACCCCTGACCCCTGACCCCTGACCCATGCTGGGCTCCAGCTGACATCAACACATGCATCTCAGTCTCATCTCCCACGACTTCTTTTCCTGTTTCAGTTTAATCCTGCAGTTCAACCGGTGTGTTCACTGAGTTTCTGCTTTGGGGCCTAGAAACACTGCAGTGATTGAGAGCTGATATTTTGATTGACTTCATGTTTTAGCATCATTGCCAAGCACTGTGCTCTCCTCTGTTGAATACGGTACGCTAGGGGATAGATTTCACTTTTAGCAGATACACACTACTGGTCAAAGTTTGGAATTATTAAGATGATTTAATGTTTCTGAAAGAAGTCTCTTCGGCTCAGCAAAACTGCATTTATTTTTAAAACAGTGAGATATTATTATAATGTCAAACAGCTGTTTTCTATGTGAATATGTGTTAAACTGTAATGTATTTCTGTGATGCGCAGCTGTATTTTCAGCATCATTACTCCAGTCTTCAGTGTCACATGATCTTCAGAAATCAGTATAATATGCTGATCTGCTGCTCGAGAAACATTTCTGATTATTATCAATGTTGAACACAGTCGTGCTGCACAATATTTTTGTGGAAACTGTGATACACTACCATTGAAAATGTTGGAGTAAGGTTTTTTTTAAGAAATAATTTTTATTCATCAAGCATGCATTACATTTGCTCGAAAGTGACAGTAAAGACATTTATAATGTTACAATAGATTACAGACAATGCTGTTCTTTTTAACTTCATATTCATCTGTGAATCCTGAAAAATAAAATGTATCAAATAAATGCGGTGATGGTGAGCAGAACCCTTTCATGGGTGTTTAGACTGAGTGTGTGCGTGTGTGATTACACTTTCTGCAGTACCTGAGCAACCCTCACGTGTGTGTGTGTGTGTGTGTGTGTGTGTGTGTGTGTGTGTGTGTGTGTGTGTGTGGAGTCTATAATGGATGTGTAACCGTGAGGATGAATGTCTTGCCACTTCATAAATCCTGCCGTAATGAGCCTGAGTGTTAGTGAAGCTAAACAGAGTATGTCCATAAAAGGCATCATCTGTAAGATCTGAACATCTCTCACACACACACACACACACACACACACACTCTCTCTCTCTCTCTCTCTCTCTCTCTCTCTCTCTCTCTCTCTCTCTCTCTCTCTCTCTCTCTCTCTCTCTCTCTCTCTCTCTCTCTCTCTCTCTCTCTCTCTCTCTCTCTCTCTCTCTCTCTCTCTCTCTCTCTCTCTCTCTCTCTCTCTCTCTCTCTCTCTCTCTCTCTCTCTCTCTCTCTCTCTCTCTCTCTCTCTCTCTCTCTCTCTCTCTCTCTCTCTCTCTCTCTCTCTCTCTCTCTCTCTCTCTCTCTCTCTCTCTCTCTCTCTCTCTCTCTCTCTCTCTCTCTCTCTCTCTCTCTCTCTCTCTCTCTCTCTCTCTCTCTCTCTCTCTCTCTCTCTCTCTCTCTCTCTCTCTCTCTCTCTCTCTCTCTCTCTCTCACAAACACACACACACTCTTTCTCTCTCTCTCTCTCATACACACACACACAAACACACACACACTCTCTCTCTCTCCCTCTCAATTCAATTCAATTCAATTCGTGCTTTATTGGCATGACAATTGTTACAATGTATTGCCAAAGCATAGTGTTTACACTGC